ACCACATTTGCTTATGCACCCATTTGTCTTCAGCTATCTTATCTAGGCCAATACCTCTATTTTTATGAATTAAAATATTTACATAAGTGCACACCTATGTTTATACTTCTATCCATAGTTTTGCTTCCTAGCTCTTTCCTCTGTTTCCTTTGACCTTCCTCCTGCCCCACCATCATGCTCGCCCTTCTTCTGCCTCATAGTAATTGTTCTCAGCTAGATTGTTGTTGCTCCAACACCACTGGGATCTCTACATCCATCCTCTTCGTGGTTGGTTTTAATTACCTAGTTGTTCCCCTGGGCATGGCATTGCTTGCTCATGGCTCCTTTCCCTGCCTCCCTCCCACCCAAGTCCCCCTGAAACTATCAGTCCTGTCTCTTTCTCCTTGGGTTTGCTTCCCATGCCTATCTTATAGAGGTAAGCAATACAACAGTAAGACACAAACCAAAAAGAAAACAAAACATTGAATAAAAAGAGAAGAAAAGAAAAAAAACTAGCCAAAAATGAAAAGCATACATAATCCCAGGTCTGTCCACTGACTTTTATGACTATCTCTCTACAGGTGCGGTGTGTGTGGTGGGGGGTGGGGGGGCGTGCACAGGAGGCATTCCAGGAACTTCCCTCCTAGCCTGAAATCAATTTGGGGGCTCCTGAGGAGGTTTGCTCCCGATGCTAAACTGCTATGTTCCCTTCTTGGTTCGCCCTGCTGTGGGGGGTTCAGACTGGACTCACTCCCAGCCGTGTGCCCCCAGTATTGTCCTCTGTTGCGGTGTGCTCCAGTGAGGGGACATCATGTCTCAAGCTGTTGTCGACCCTACAGTCCTCTCTGCGCCTTAGCAGCTCCATGTAGGGATGTCATCCTCAGGGCTTGGTGTGCCAATACGGGGTCTAGACCCTCACTTTCTCTTTTTCCTTCTTGGTTTACTTCTGTGTGGGTCTGCTCCCCCACTGCCATTGTCTCCCTCTTTTTTCCCCTTTTCTCTCCTCCCCAACTCCCCCTCCACACACACCCCACCCAATCCCCTTCTTTGTTGGAATTATATGTGCATCCTTGAGTTTGGTCCGTCCGTTTCATCCCCCCCCCCAATTGCCTTTACCTCATCCAGTAAAGTGTGAGATAAGTGGCTTTTCTCCTATACCCACTGCCACCCATCGACTTATCTGCCCTTCCAACCTCATCCCTCTGCACGCACCAGCATCTGCCGCACTCTTCAGCAAAATGAGATTGTCTGCAGGCCTACAAAACTACTTCTTTGCATAACTTCTGTCTCACTTGAGTGGATCTCCTGAGGCAGCCCAAAAGCCTTCCTTCCATGCTATCTAGTTTTCCCAGGACATGCCCACCTTCAAAGGCACCTGGTGGCACTGTGGAATGAACGTCGGACTGCTAACCACAAGATGGCCGACTCAGTCACTCTAGGAAAGGTGTGGCTGTCTGCTTCCAGAAAGATCCACAAGGCCTCAGAAACCCTGGATAGGGTGGCGATGAGTGGGTAGCAGCTCAAGGGCAGTGGGTTTGGGTTTGGGGGTCTTTATGTACCTTCATGCATGTTCTCTTTGTTCCTGTCTATCTAAGCATCTGCCGTAGGCCACCCAGATGAGCTGTTTACATCCCTCTTCAGTCATGAGAATGCCAGTGGGTGGCCCATGTGGAGAAGCAGGACAGTGGCTCCTGTGGGCCATTTCAGACGTTAGCCAACTCTCGGTTGAACTCCAGCTGGTTTGGAGGCTAGACCTGTGCAGCATCCGTGACAAGGAACATTCAAAGAGGGGGAGGGAGGAAAAGCAAGGCACTCCCCCAAGAAACTCAGCCCTCTCAGTGGACTGTATGACTGTATGACTGTGACAAATGAGTACGGTGACTTGTTGGGTCCAACAATGGCCTGAAGGAGTGATTCTCCTTTTACTCCAAATTCTTCCTCTTATTCTTCTTTCCATCAGCAAACGAGTCCTGTGAGTGCGATGCTCGTGTTGGTGAAGATGCTATCAGGACCAAGAGAATACATCGTGGACCTGGAGATGCTGACGGTCAACAGTATAGGAACTTTCCGCACAAGTTCAGTGTTAAGATTGACCATCATCGTAGGGCCATTTTCATTTTAGTTTTCTTGTATCTGAGTCCACTGCAGGCATTTAAACCCACCAAAGAATAATGTTCCCGTAAGAGCACTATTTTATTTATAGACATACATAGTACATTTACTTCTATAATCTCTACACTCACCCATAATTCCAACAATGACACCGTGGTAGAAGGTGAGCATTTACTCTGTAAAGATGCAGCATGTGTCTTCATTACCATATGTAAATTAGACAGTAATCCACTGAACTGGCCTGTCTCAGGAGAGCGAAGCATACACTATCCGGCGAGACTTGGATTCTTTCCTGCACACGTGGGACCAATCAGTGGTGCTCTTCTGCTGCAATGCTTGTGACCACGTCTGCCCCGCTCCTGCTCCACTCCAGCCTCCCAGGGAGGCGGCCGTCAAGGCACTGAATAGCATACCAGGCGAAGATCGCCCAGTGAGTTTGTTTGATTGCTTTGTAAGAAAATGAAACACCTCAATAAAGATATATTTCTTTAGAAAAACAAGTGTCTACCATCTTTGTGTTGGTTTTTATTGATTAGTTGGAAGGTAGCTGTCACTTACATGGTCATATTGGCATTTGCTGATGGCAGGTCACTTTCTATCAGATATGCCAACTTTTGTCCGAACGTTGCTGTTATGAACATAAAAAAATGTGTAACCCACTACAGTACCAGAGAGGCTTGTGTGTACTGCTTTGTTTCCTAAATTAATTTAAAATCAGAGTATAAGTAAATATTCAAGTCAACTATCAAAAAAAATAATTCTCAAAAGGGAATACAGTACACTACAAAATTATCATATCGAGGCATCGGTGGAAAGAAGATGAGTGGAGAAACTATTCCGCAGCCACATTGGAGTTGATCAGTCAAAACAAAACTCAAACATAAAAGTCCCAACAAGTTGATTCAATTCCGATCAAGCCTGTCGAACAGAGTAGAACTGCCCCTGGAGTGTTACATGTGCTGAGTGACCGCTCCTACCAGACCTCACCATAGACGTGATCACATTACATGGATCTCATCATGGGGATGATACCTCATCCTCGTCCACCCACAGAGCCGTGGTCCGGCCAAGTTCTGCCCTTACCTGCAGAGATCACATTAGGAGTCCAGATCAATGAAGGCTTGATCAAAGGATTCCTTCTTTACGCAATCGTGTGATTTTCTACATATGAACATGGTTCTCTCGTCAGAGACGAGCATGGGAACGGCTGTGTGTGTCTGTGTCGCTGTTGCTTTTACGTTTACAACCATCTTCCAGCAGACGCTGCAAGCTTCACCAAGAAGGTGGGAGCTCTGCCTGAAACGCCATCGATGATTGCAGACGAAGAAAAAAACCAGGAAACACTCTGAAATATAGAGATGCCCACATCTATATGTGTGTGTGTGTGTGTGTGTGTATTCCGGGCCTGCCAACATACCAGTTGCTGTGGCGTCAGCTCTACCTTAGGAGTGGAACTGTCCCAGACAGTTGTTCAATGGCTGCTTTTACTAAACTCCGTCAGCAGGCACTTCTTCCAAAGTCCCTGTGGGTGGACTCAAACTACCGACGTTTCAGTTGGCAGGCAAGTGCGCACTGTGTGCGCCACGCAGTCCACTCCGACAGAAGCCACACTCTCCACGCGCGATGACTGGCCTCTCATCTGAAAGCCTAATGGCCCTGAGGGCTGCCCACACGTGAAGAGGGCTGCTGACTAACCCACTCATTTCACAGTGCATGGATTCTCACCGTGTTTAATTTGGTTTGGTTGAGGTTTTCTTTACCCAAAAGGATAGCAAGTGGAAAAAGAATATTGAACTTCACAAAAGCAGAAACCTGGAAAGAACTTGAGAAGCTTTCACAGGGACAGCTCTCGGAGTAAACCAGCACCCCATGCTCTCTTTCAATGTCGTTGACCGATGCAAACAACAAACCAAGGCAGTAAGACAAAGGCCGGGTTTGTTTTTCACTTGCATGCCTGCCTCTTCCCCCACTCCCATGAGAATCATTGATTAAAACCAGGCCCCCGAGATGGGAATTATCAGAATAATTCATAGTTGGAGTCATTATTATTCACCAGCAAACATCAATTGAGCAACTTTTATGGTAATCCCCTCCGACATCTAACCCTGAGGCGGGGGATGGCAGAACCAGGGGCTCTAGTCTCGGTGCTAACGTTAAACACCTGTGGGGCCTTGAGCACGGAGGGCTGTTACTCCACCCTTAAAGCCAGGACATCGAACCAAGGTGCTGCCCTAGCTCTTAAAGCGATCACAAATCCCTACCCCAGGGCTGAGCAGAGAAAGGGTCTCCCGTATATACTCGAGTAGAAGCTGACCCAAATATCAGCCAGGGAACCTAATTTTACCACCAAAACTACATTAAAAATGTACTGAAAAACTCGGCTTAAACACGAGTATATACAGTGAGTCGATTTGCCAAATCTTGGAGAGGATTTGAATCTTCTCTGCCAAGCAGCAGCTGCGAGAGGCACTGGACGTTGGAGGCGGAGCCGGTGAGCCCCTCCCGCCCCCACACAGGTCTCCACAATGGAGATTTCATCCAGGACACAAGCCCAGCACGCAACTCAGCGGTCACTTTCCCAATGGCAATTCAAAATAAATGTTCCCAGCACTCACTCTTTTCAAGTTAGGCATGTGTTTGCTCCTCTCCGGGAAAGTGAAGTAGGATTACTCATGTGAAAGCCATGGTCTTGCTGCCTGGTTTCACCAGTGGGAAAAAAAGGCCAGTCACGGTTTCCCACACTTCCAAACGGGCTTCCAGGGATGCATGTGTTCTCATTGAGTGAGCCTCAGGAACGAGGGCCACCTCGTTCCTTCCATCACGTCACCACCCCAATGCCCTTGGCCTGGGTGCTGAGACTTCCAGGCACTCTGACTGTACGGAGTTATTTTCCAACACTGACTGGGAGAGGCCGCCTCATTAGCAAGCTCTCGGCAACAGAGAATAACTTCCCTCTGGCTCCCAAATCTCCCCTTCCGTGGTTTCCTTAACAGTCTGCAATAGTCCTCACCCTTGACATAAAAAATTTAAAAAATCTTTCCTATGTCATCCCTTGCTTCCTATTTAGATAAGGACTCAGATAATGGCTTACCTGGTCTAACCTTCATCTTTTTAAGGCTGGCTTAAGGTCATCATTTGTTGAGCAAGAGCTCTGGCCTCAGAATGCAAGGCTCTTTCCATCTGCAATACTCCAGATGTCAACACCATAGGCAAGCCTTCCCCTTCCTAAGCCCTTTCCCGAAAAGTGTCCATCACGTGATTCAGCCCTAAAGGCTGCTGTGACTAGCTGCCCCTGCTGCTGTCACATAGGTTGAAATTACATGGATACCAACCTGGTTCTGATTTGCGCTCTTTAATTAAAGTTGATTTGTTTTCTTTAACTCCCGAGAGGCGGAAGGAGTTGTCTTAGGCAACCGAAACACAAACAAGCTCACTGCCGTTGCGTGATGCTGATTCCGAGTGACCCTCTGACAGGTAGAACTGCCCCCCGTGTCTTTCTGAGACTATGAGCCCCGTCTTTCTCCCATGAAGCAGCTGCTGGTTTCGAACTACAGACCTTGTGGCCAGGAGCCCAACGCATAATCACTACACCACCAGGACTCCATTCTGTTAGGCAATGTAGTTTTGAAACCTAGACGAATCCCACAGGTCTGACCATACTTGAAAATAAAAGCAGTTGCCAGCCTATCAGCTTCTGTTTGTGGTGGCCTGCCGTGGGTCAGAGGAGAGCTGTGCGGGGCTTTCAGCGGCTGGGCTTTCAGGAGAGACTGCCAGGCCTTTCTTTCAACACACCTCTGGGAAGACTTGAACCTCCGACTTTCTGCCTGGCAACCAAGTGTGTTAACTGTTTGCACTACTTATGAACTCTTGCTATACTGTGTTGTTGTTGTTGTTTGTTTGGTTTTTTGGCCTTTTTAAAAGAATATTTTCTTGGCATATAGTTCACATATCATACACTTAAATATAGTTTGGTTATATCAAAAAGAGTTGTACAATCATCACCACAATTAGTTCTAGAACATTTTCTACCTTCTTGTACTTATTGATACTAGCTCCTCATTTGCCATCAACCTCTTTTCCCATACCCCCAATAGGCCATTTACTGTTTCTATATATTTACCTACCCTGGATTTTATAGATGGGAACATATTAACCCTATAACACCTGAATTTTTAATTTCAGGAAAAAAATTTTGTTTTTATTCTTTACTTTCTTTATTTTCCTTT